ATTTTTACAAAACTGCCTATCATTTCAAAAACGAATTCGGACCAGTCTGTGAATATGAACATTTTAACACAAGTTAAAGACTTCCAAAAATCATAATAAAAATTATGAACAAACTAGACACATTTTATGAACTCTCAGAATTTACGGATTTAGTTTTCGACTTCGTATGATTTTTCTAAAACAGTGTAGCACGGTTAAAAACTAGTTAACAACTTATAACTTTCATAACACTTTGTAATATGTCGAGCAAAGTGTATAACCATAAGTTCTAAATATTGAATGTATTATCTTGTTAGTTTATCATCTTAAACTGAAATTTAGTCATTCATGATAAGGTTTACTTATTCATTTCGAACACATATAATAAACTTCAATAAGCATAGTTTATGGATTTTACTACATGAAAAAGGTTTTACTCTCAAAACAAATGGGTTTTTTCATATCCTACATGATAAACTATAATAGTAATAGTTTAGGAATTTCATATCACTAATTTATTCAGAAAAAGGTGGTTTTACTCCCTCCACGGATGAGGTTTTAATATCAAACTATGTGTAAACTAGTTAACTTAGGTTGTGAGGCAATTCTCTCCCCGTGCGTTCGAGTACGGGATCCCAATTCCTGTAAGTTATAACCAGAGTCTCTTGTAGGGAGAGCGTGATAATTATGTATAGATCTATATTGGGTTTAACACCCCACACCTTGCTGCTAGCTACAGTGAGACCTGCAGGTCTACGGGTGACAAGAGTCATAGTATCTTAATGTCTGAAAGATGTTGTGCAGGTTATTTCTCGTCATAGTATGGTTATAGCGACTCACATAGGTAGTTAACAATCTTTCAAGTTTACATGGAAAATTCTAGTTTGAAAAAGGGTTTACCTCTAAATCAAACGAGTTTATGTCGATTTAAACTTGCATGAATCACTTTAAGTATGGAAAATACTTGTTTACTTTCGGTCCTGGGATTTAGGACCACATAACTTTTATAAAGAAAATATAGGATTTTCTTTGGAAACATATTTCTGTTAAAACTACATTTCATCTAAAATTGTTAGATTTCAGCTATAATTGCTAAGTGTATATGCTAGAGTTATATAAAAAATCTAGTCACAATCGACTTAGAATTGGTGGGCCCGCCTCATTTCCTGTTCCTTGTTTGGTTGTGGACCTAGGGCAGACCCATTACATTCAACGGTTTATTTAACTTAAATTTTATATAACTTATATACGTTGGGCGATTATAGGAGGAATCTACGGGTCGTTCTAGGGTTCATTATCGTATAACATAGGAGCATTCATTTCACACTTAACTAAGAAAATATTGCATTTTCTGGAAATCATACTCTATCGCTTTTACAAGGAAAACGGTTTCTTCCTCAAACAAAACTCTTATGAACTCACCAACTTAATTGTTGACACTTTTCAAAACTACTTGTATTCTCAGAAAATCAGTGAAACAGGAAAACATCAGCACTTTGAGGATGGGACGTTAAATCGTCAAACAGTTCATTTTGTCATCATAATGTAATTGATTTTGAAACATGTAAACATATACTACGGTGTAACCTTTTCAATTATATTTATGATGGTTGTATTTACTTTGAGCACTATTATACTCGTTGTTGTGATACTATACATGAAGTCCTCCACCCCCGGATGTTTCCGCCATCCTTGGTTTGGGGGTGTGACACGTAACGGGGGTTTAATCTCCTAGAGTAATTTATGATTACGCGGGGCATAATCTAAGCATATCAAAACCCTAAATATTCGGTTTCGAGCTCTATTTAAGGGATCTAACTTATAGGAAACCCTCTCATGACCAGCCTCCATCACCTAAGATCATTCCTTGAGAAACCCTTGCCTCATCTCATTTGTTTTGAGCCTTGCCCATTATTTATGAACTTATTTCTCCATTGGAAGGTTTAATCTTGAAGAGCAAGGTGGTGGCAAAGAGTATAGAAGAAGATTTCAAGTATAGATCCAGCAGGATTACACCATTCGTGGACCATTGTGAGTAAAAAACTTTTAACTTGCTCATTGGTTTCATAGATCTAGTTATTTGTCAAATTTGACACTTTTTGGTCATTTTAGTGCTTAAAGTTTAGATCTTGAAATTTGGTGACCTTGTTATGTATAAAATTGAAAACTTTATCCATCTACACATCATATTGATTCAGATTTGAAGGTTGGAGATTTGGACTTAATGGATTAAATTGAGAAAAATGCATTTTTGGTCCCTTTGAGACTTAAAGACTAGATCTTGGTTGTTTGGACCATCCTAATGGATAAAGTATAGGAATCGGATCTGAGCTTTGAGTGAAAGGTCTTAATGTATTAAGTGCTTAAAATGAAGTTTTGGATCTGGAGGCATACACAGGGCATACTTAAGGTTTTGCAACACGTAGCCTAGTTGGACCTCGTATTCTGAAGTAAGGCTCTACACCATGCGTAGAGCTGGAGTACGCAACATATAGGTCAACGAAAGTTGACCTTGACTTTTTGACCCGTTGACTTTTGGTCAACTGTTAGGGTAGGTCTCGGGGAAGGGCAAAATGGTTTTTTTTCCCTTAGAAGAGTTAGTCTTAGTCTAAGCCTCTAAGGACTTGTCGGTTTGAAGTTTTTACCTTGGTTTTGACTTAAGGATGTTTTGGTGAATTGATAGTGTAAGGAGTTCGAGGGTCAGCAACTCTAGCTCGTGTTTTCTCTTTGATAGTTAATTGAGGTGAGTCTCTTCACTGTACTCGAGGGTCGAAGGCACCAATGCCGACCCACTGGATCATGTTTGTAGGATGATAGTTGTCTTTGTGACACTTGCTGATATGCATGTATGTGCTTGTTGTCTTTGTGACTCCTGTTGATATGATTGTATGCTTAGATGTAGGGGTGAAATAGACCAGTACCGGTTGAAAGATACAAAAGGAGTTGAAATAGACTCATGGGTGAAATAGATCCGTATCGGTTGAAAGATACCGAAGGAGTTAAAATAGACTCGGGAGGTGAAATAGATCCGTGCCGGTTGAAAGATACCGAAGGAATTGGAATAGACTCGGGGGTGAAATAGACCCGTACCGGTTGAAAGATACCGAAAGAGTTGGAATAGACTCGATGTGAAATAGACCTGTACTGCTTGAAAGATAGATATCAAATGAATTGGAATAGACTCGGGGGTGAAATAGACCCGGTTAGCTTCGTCCTGATATGTATGTATGGTATGAAGTATTTTGAAGAACTCACTAAACTTTGTGTTTAAAATGTTCCAAGTACTTTTGGTAAGGGTTCGACTTGATCGCACTCCATCCCATGAAGATTTTATTTAACACTGAATGTTTACGAATTACTCTGATTCTTTGTGAATACTTGACTTTGATCGTTTTCTGGAACAATAAAGGAATAGTTTTAGCTTATTTAAAATGAAATTTTTACTTGGTATTTTTGAAATGTTGCAACGACCTATGATTTGGTTGATTACAATTAAAACTTTGTTAGTTTTTTTATGAAAAATATTAGGAAATATTACTATTAACAAAAAAAAAAGAACACACACACCACTAAAATAGATTCACAGATATCAATTCCTTTCACTGCCTCTTCCTGCGTCTTTCTTCTGACGGAGGTAACAGCTGTTTCTTTCTTTTCGGGTTTTCTTTACCCTTTGCAATTGTTTACCATAAACCCTTATCGCCATAAATCTTGAAGCTTTCCAGTTCCACGCCCAATAACCCACGCTCAACTCAATTAGCACACTAGCGACTCCACTCTTCAGTTTACGCAGGTAAACATCGACCCACCTTTTCTTCTCCTTCGCTGCCTATGTACACTTTTAGGTTTTCTTTTCTTTAAATCTGTTTTTGCTAAGAATTCCCTTTTCTTTTATCGTTCAACTTAGAGTCGATACTGTTTGGGTTTAATTGTTAGTAGTACTTTTAATTTGTTTCTTTTTAGTGCATTTTACTACCCATCGCTATAATTGGTTGGAATTTTTTTCAAGTAGAATGTCTAATGAGAAATAGTTCACAAGTATAATGTTGTGTTAGGCATCAAAACCCTCAGAGCAATCATCAGACTCTACAATTTAACATAATTATCATAACCACATAGCAAAAAGGGTTAATATTATAAATAAACAGCATACTTTTCAGCTTTTCTTATTTAGGCTACACACAAACTAACTGTACTTTTTCAAAAACTATACCAATACACAAATAGATAATTCTAACATCAAAGAAAAAAACTTTTCAACTCAGGTGATAATGCAAACTCTCTCTATACAAATTAAAACAAGGTAAAGTAACAAAAAAAAATGAAATGGTTACGACCTACAAGAATTTGAATGTATCTTATGAACATGACATCAAATGATGATACAACATGTCAATATCTTCAAACCATAATAGTATCAAACCAATATCCAAACCCTAATGGGCCAGAATTGGTTTTACTTTTTCCTTGATAAGTTTTATATAATTAAGAATGAAATATATGAAAATGCACCTGAGAAACTTGCATAAATGTTAGGGCTGCAACATCCATGAATAGAAAACCATCTAAAATTTCTTTATTTGATTTATTTTTTCTTAGTCCTTAGATGACAATGATTTCTTTATTTAATTTATTTTTCTTTGATTGATATGATGCTATACTTTCTTTTTGGGTAAATAATAATTTTTATAGTTGCATTGTTATATATTGATTTACGAAATTCAATAAGAAATTGAACAAAAAAAGGTCTTAGTGGGTCAACCCAATTATACACCTCTAACCCATAACCAAGTGCCCATTTGAACACTTAACCCATTTTGACCCATTTTCCATTTCATCAATTCAATCCAATCCAAACCCTCCATTTTGCCACCTCTGCTAAAAAAGAGACGAAAATGACTATTTCAGGCCAAAAAAACAAAATAAGTTCTTAATTAACTGAACTTGTAGATTAATGAATAGTTCAGGGACCAAATTTGTAATACGTGAAATAATAGGGAACATTTCACAATTCACAATCCAAATTATCGTTTCCTCTGGATTTTCTTGATTATTGATGAATTTCTCTCAACTTGGCTAGGGTTTCGAGCATGGTTTCCATTCAGATTATATAATTAACTAAATTTTCTTTTCTTTGATTATTTCTCTAGGGTTTCAATTCAAAACACTGGAATTGGGAATTGGGAATTGGAAACATCGTGGAAATGTCTTTATTAAGTATGCTGCCATTTTCTCAACCTTTATTTGCAAAGGAGAATGTATTAAAAGCTTCAATTTCTTTCAACAAGATGCCTTTTACAAGCATTCATTTGCCAAGGTCGATGTTTCTGGTATAATTCTACTAGTTTTTTTTATTGAATTTACTTGTTAAGTGCTTAAATTATGCTAATAAACCCTACTATGATCTATTATATAGGGCAAAATGCAAGATATAATAACAACTTACGTTTTTATCTAGTTTGTTTATTATAGAACCCTATATTCATTAGTATCCTACTTTTGTTTCTTTCTATCAAGACATAGCGATTTATTGCATTTAACCTTATAATAAATCACAAATGCCTTGCAATAACAGACGCAAAGAAAATTTTTAAGAGCTTCCAAAGTTGAAATTCTGGATTGTGATGATGATAAAAGGAAAGAATCCACAAAATCAAGCAAGATTGATGATGATGATGATGATGACAGTGATAGTGATTTTGAAATGGATGAAGATGAAAGGATAGAATTCAGGAAAAAGATTAGACAAATGATTGAAATGAACCCTGAAGTCAAAGATGTTGACCCTGAAGAAAAGAAAAAAATGATGGAAAAACTTTTATCTGATTATCCACTTGTTGTAGATGAAGAGGATCCAGATTGGCCTGAAGATGCAGAAGGAAGGGGTTTTAATTTCAGTCAGTTTTTTGATAAAATGACAATTAAAAACGTGAAAAAAGATGATGAAGATTATGATAGTGATGGTGAAGTTAATTGGCAAGATATTAGGGCTATTAAAGACATTAAGTCTGAAGAATGGGAGGACACTGTGTTTCAAGATCTTAGCCCCTTGATTGTTCTTGTGCATAATCGTTATAGAAGGTTACCTAATCTATCTAATTATAGCTTTTTAAAATCATTTTTATTTACCTTTTAAAATAATTTTTATTTTTTTCAGACCAAAAGAAAATGAAATGGCTCGTGATCAGTTGGAAAAAGCAATACAAATTATATGGGATTGTAGAATACCTTCGCCAAGGGTAACCAAAATTTCATCATTTTCACTGATATGTGTGTATGATATCGAATTAACATTTATTGTTTGTTTTAACTTTTTAACTTTTAACAGTGTGTTGCGATTGATGCTGTTGTGGAGTGTGACTTAGTGTTAACACTTGGAGTTTCTGTTTTTCCTGAACTCATATTTACAAAAGTTGGAAAGATCTTACACCGTGAAAAAGGTAAAAAAAAAGTTGGTAAAATGATTATTTTTGGTCCGTGAAAACCTCGAATAAGGACCCAAATTGCAAAAATCAGCTACTCATGGACCAAAAGCGTCAATTTAAATTGTGCAGTTTTGATGGGACATTAGACAAGTTGAAAAGTTATTTGTTTTTGAAAAAATATGCTTTTGACCATATAAAATGGTTTTCAGGTATAGATTTTTAAGAGGGATTTTAAATTTAATTTATTTTTGTTTTGTTAATTTTTAGAAATTCGAACAGCAGAGGAATTGTCAAAGATGATGGCCTTCTTTTACTATGGAGCAGCAAAGCCGCCATGTCTTGGTAATAACTTTGTGATGACCAACGATGCAATCCCTGGCTTCACTACCAAGAAATAGATGTACAATCATGCTACAATGACTTGTACTTCATGCATGATAAGTTGTATATTCTTCTAGATTTGTAATATATGAGAAATTTTGGCAAAATAGATGTTATTAGCAAACTCTATTGTTTAACACTTCATTTTTTCTTATTCAACCCATTAAGTGGGTATCAATATGTGCATCTCAAAAGTGATTATATCCATTTGATTTGATGTTGTTTAATTCTAAAGTGAAGGGTATTCTGGTAATTTTTAATCATTCAACAGAGAGGCGCCTCTGATAAGCAATATGTTTTGATTTAGAGACACATTTATTAAGAGCCCCTGAAGGTTGTCAAACGTGACATTCTTACATTTTGTAGAAGTATTTGTATATTGCATATGACAATTTATTTTCTCTTAACTATAATTTTGTTACAAATCATTATATAGCCATATAATCAGTTATAACTGAAATTAATTATTACATTTTTGACCTAGATCAAGTTCCTTGTGTTGCTTATGGGTTAAAAGATTCTATTGTGCATGGTCCAGCGTAACAATCACAAAGTTCTATTATAACAATTACCTATGAAAAAAAATACAATTTTCCATATAAATTAAAAAACACCCATTATGAACGTCACTTACAGTGTGAAAATGACAAGTTTACCCCTACAAGGTTTGGGAGGGATGTGAAGGTGAGATTTAAACTGATAGCAGGGATTTGAGACTTGAGCGTGGGATGGCTTTCTTGATTCTCTCAACAGCAGCTTGTATGGTGGAGAGAGATGTTGCTGCAACCTGGGACAAGGGCAACCTGGGAAATTCACTAGTTTGGACCTTAGAAAGTCAAACTTCTATATCTTGTTTTATCCCATGAGAGTAACATTAACGAGAAATTTAACCATTGTAGGTGTAGTTTCATTGCAAATTGACCTATTTTTTTTTACAGTTATTGTAGACTTTTTTACAAGTTTTTACAACATTTTAAGGCTTTTTATAAACTTCTTTTTTATAATCTTTTACAACATTTTTTAAAACATATTGTAAGCATTTTTTACAATTTTTTTTATACTTTCATACAACTTTTTTTAACCGAAAGTATTACTAAATGTGAAATCCTTTTTTTAATTAAGAACACCAGATGCCGTACGGATGAGTAGGGGTAGGGTTGAGAATCTGGGGTAGGGAGGGTGGATGGGTAGGGGAGAGACGGTTATGGGGTTTGGGTGGGGTGTGGTGTGGGTGGGTGTTGGGTATGTTCCCACCCTCACCCTCCCTACCCCCACAACCACCCACCATCACCTCACCCAACCTACTTACTGACCCCACCACACATCCCCACCCACCCTACCTACCCCCAACCCTTATTTTACAATTTAGACCACTAGACTATCAAGGGTCGTTATATCCTACCGACACTTTTTAATAATACAAACCTACCGACACGTAATAAAGACTTACACGTACAACCAACCTCCGCACTCCCATAACTACCCACCCGCACCCGTCCTACCGCTACCCATCCCCACCCGCCTACCCACCCTTAACACCAACCCATAACCACCCTCCCTACGCTCGTAGCCACCCACACTCATGCTACCCGTTATATCCTTACCTACTCACTCATCTGCCCACCCCACGCATCCACCCTACTTACCTACCGTATAGCCCCACCCATCCACATTCCTACCTACCTCCCTCCAAACACCCCACCGACACACACATCCGATAGGAATGTCATATTACAGGCATATGGTGTTTTTAAAAAAGATTTCACATTTCAATATGTTTTTGGTTAAAAAAAGTCATATAAAAGTGTAAACAAAATCGTAATATATGTTTAGCAAATGTTTTGGAAAATGTTGTAAAAAAATTTTGAAAAAAAAGTTCATAAAAAGGATTGTAAAAAAGTATAAAAAAAAAAAAAAAAAAACTTGGGACATATTTATAAAGTAAAAACGTTTGGACCTATTTGTAATAATATGTAACGTTTGGACCAAGTTTGTAACATAGTTTAAAATCTACGCTAAAAGTGCAAAATTGGGACATGACCTACATTGAAACGTAAAAACTCATAGTTCGTTGCCATTATATTACATTTTTTTGGTTTGTTGGCAACTTAAATTTTTTTCAATAAATATACAACCAAACACGTTTCTAATTTTCTAAAATGGAAAACAAAAAAATCTTGAGTTTTTACCAAACACGTTTTCAAAAAATTTCATTGAAAACTAAAAACGAAAACTCCACTCCTTTTTACGAAAACTTTTCCAAGAAAACTAAAAATAGATTTCCACAACCAAACGCACCTTAGCTTTTACATTGTAAAATGAAATTATCAACTTTATTCATATTATACATGGTACAATGTAAGAATCACAAAATTTTATCATACCAATCACCTAAGAAAAATACAAATTTTCATGCAAATTACGAAAACACCCATTATGAATGCAAAAGTGGCAAATTTACCCCCTGACTTGCAAATAAAGGTAAGATTTAAACTGTTAGCGGGGATTTAAGACTTAAGAGTGAGAACGGCCTTCTTGATTCTCTCAAAAGCTGCTTGTAAGGTGGAGAGAGATGCTGCATATGAGATCCTGATACACGTGTCATCCCCAAATGCATCTCCAGGGACAAGGGCAACCTGGGAAATTCAATATGTCCGTTTCACCTTAAAACTCGATTTAATAATTTCAATTATTGCAAATTCACAGGGACTGAGATTGATGTCAATAGAACAGGGACTTGCCCTGGATCTCTTGTTAGTGCAATAGACGTGAATGTCCTTATCCTCAGTATTGAAAATTGCCCTTAAGAAGGTGTTTTTGGTAAATTATTATTATTATTATTACCTGGCCCTTTTCCAGCAAATACCGACACAAAGATTCTGAATCATTAATCAAACCAAAGCCATCCACCTTGCTCCCATAGTAATAGCTGAAATCAAGAAACAGGTAGAAAGCACCCTGCAAACCAAACACAAAGGGTTAAATTTAATGCAAGAAATACCAACCTACTTTCATT